AGTGCTTCTCTCTGTAATCTTATACTGTTAGAGAGTGTGTTATTTTATTTATTAAATATTTTGATTTTTAATGATAAACGCAGTTAAGTATTTATACGCTTCGGTGATAGTGACTAGAAAATTGAGCATATATATACGTTTATGATGCAAATGGATTAAAATATATGGAAGAATTTTGAAAAGTTACAATATTAACGAGTTTATAGAAAATCTAAAGAACACAAAAGATTTGGCTTCCTCACATTGTAAAAGATTTGGGTTAGGTTTAAATAAATGGAATTAGTTTTTATGCAGAGTTTTATCCTCAAACTAGTTGGGGCAAGGTAAAGTGTCTGCCATAGCGCTAGGTCTAAACAATAATAAAATTTATTAATTAAATTAGAATTTCTATTGTTAAGCAATATAATAAAAATATAATCCCAAGATTATACCGGTGTCCTTTCATATATATAGTAACAATATTATAATAAATTAATCCTACAATTATCTTACTTTTGAAACTGTACATTCGTCACATTCTCTCGAAACTTAGTTTTTGAAAGTTTCACTTCTAACACGTGTGATCGGCAAACATGTTTTTTTTTGTTGTAACTAAAAAATGAGAAAAATTATTTATTGCACTTATGACTTTGTTCTAATTGCACACCCGCGCACAAAGTTTCACTTTTCAATTGTGGTCGTGCCATCGCCCACTTTGAGAACCGCTGCTGTAGATCCTAAGTTCATGGTACACATACATGTACATATACATATAAATATACATATACATATACACATTCTCATATATAAATCCACAGGTCAGTTATCTGATATTCAGCAGTCGTTATAAGACCACAGTAGAATAAAGGTGCTTAGTTCAACAGATATTTTTGTCAAGATAACGTTTTTAATACTTAGATTGTTATAATCGTTATTAATCACTCATCAACATGTTTAGTATATCATAGGATATAAAGTTTTCTAAAGTTTTTGTTTAATAGTGGAATTTCGAAATACTTATTATATTTTATTATGTTCCTTGTGAAAATATTATTTTGTATTATAGGGTAAGTTTTTAATTTTTTAACATTCTATACCGTATCCAACTGTAAAAATCACAAATGGCCAAATTATATGATAGAGTGTAATTAGTGTATTTACATATTCAAGATGAAGTGTCAGTCTAATTAAAATCATAAGTTTAATTAATTTTGTGAATAAAATTGATATGGCTTAGTAACAAATTATTAGGAGCTTTCATTGAATGAGATATTATATAAGTCATTGATTATTAAAGTGGCCTCAATTATTGCAAATATTAATTGCTATCATATATTACGCATCAGTTTAAAAAATTTTAAATTCTAGATAATGAAAATTCTTTAAAAGTAAATATAAATACTTCATTATAATATTTTTTAGAATAATGTATTATTTTTATATAATATAGACTTGAATTTTTCCAGCAATCCAAAATCAAACATTTTGTACCTATAATTAGTATCAATACCATATATTTCAAACACTTATAAATATTTACTGATCTTAAAAATTTGATATTTCTTACTTTATTTGTATGTAATGTATTTTTTTATTATAAAAGAAAACACACAAAATATGGCATCATTAAGGCAGGATTCTACGTTAGTCGCTCGAAAAAATAGGTATTTTTGTCAATGTTTTATTAGAAAACTAAGAAAGATATTGATGTAGGGTTTGTTGTGCTTCATAAATATACTCTTAAAGTACATTAAAAAATTTTTTAAATTTGTTTTATACGCTCTATAAACATTGGAGAGGCCCTTGAACTGAACGCCTAAAAATAGTCTAGCCTTTGCAAAGTTGTAAAAATCTTGACATCGGATTATCTGAAATGAAAAACTCGAATAGTTCTATGTTCACAAAGACTACAGCAACCGGTGTTAGCAGATTTTTTTATTTACAAACAAAAATAACAAAATGGCGTCAGTTGAAAAAAAATTATCAAAAAAATCTCTTTTTTTTTTCTCATTTTTTGTCAAAAAAAAAATAGTTAAAATGAAAATTTTTTTATAAATCTGCTACCATCGGTTGAATATATGTGTATAGATTATGTGGTAAAAATTTCAGACGAATCGAATAGCTAGTTTTGGAGATTTTTACAACACGCGGTTCAAAAATGTGATTCCGAGAAAAACGCATTTAAAGTTTTCTTAAATACTTTTTTTACCCGCGCACGGGTAGATTCGAGGGACGAAAAAGTACAGTTAGGATGCTCTGATCGTTTTGAAATTTTCAAAGAGTATTCTTAAATATATTTACTTACGAATAATCGAAAAAAAAAAAATTAAAAAAAAAAAAATTACAAAGTAGAATCCTGCCTTAAAGCGGCCAAACGTATAAAGAGGAACTTTTTTCAATGATAGAAGAACCGAATTATTATAATCAACCAGGTAAAATTGCTACATTTTTTTCTTGAAAAAAAAAAATTATTATAACAGGAGGCTTAGGAGTTCTAGGAAGGCTTAGAATGGAAAGACTTTTAAGGTAAAATTGTTTTATAAATGTTTTTGTTTCCAATCAAATTTGTACTTTCGTTATAAGGTTTAAATCATTAATTTTTACTAAATTTGAATAGTATGTACAATCGGAGAGTTCTTGTTAGAACTTTCATTCTCCTTGAGATTCATATTATGAGAAATAAATAAAAAAAAAATATTCTTCGAGTTTAAAGTCTATCAATAAATGTCAACTTTCGAACCATAGCAATGTAGGCTTCCTAAATAAGAAAAAAAGCATATAGTTTTTGTCACGCAAAAAGATAATTTATTTTTTTGACCGATTTAATTGCTAGAAAAAATATTAAATTTAGCAGACAATATCTATCAAATAGTACCTATCTTTAAAATTAACGATAATTATTCCTTATTTTTCTCATTTTCTAATTCTCTCTTTATTTCTATATTAAAACTTTGACACAATAAAGTTTTATTTTGTAAGAAATTATTTTTTCCGCTAAAAACTTTCACTATAAGTGCCATTGCTGCCATTTAAAGATGTTGTCCAGAAATAACAACGATTTATTTGCTGGTAAGGGCAAAGAAACAGAAGGATCCGCAAACTCGATTTAAAGAGTATTTCAATGATGTTGTGAGTAAAGTTACATATTTTGTACTTATTATTATCGGAATAAACGATGTCACGATGTTTATATTTAAATCATTAGCTTTTTGAAAGATTGAAGAGAGAGCAAAAAGATGTTGAAAAGAAGATTATTGTGATTGAAGGAGACACGAGTCTATTGAATTTAGGATTGTCAGAGAAGGACCGCGATCGCATTAAAGATACCGATTTAATTTTTCACAGTGCAGCATCCGTACGTTTTCTAGACAACATTCGTCTTATAGTTAATACAAATATTAGAGGAACAAGGGATCTTCTCTTGCTTGCACAAGAGATGACAAGCTTAAAGGTATTATTTTCTTAGTAAAATCATCCGTATAAAAATGCGTATGTTTAAGCACAATTCCCGACTAGATCAATTTATTTATATATAAAACTTAGTTTAATTTTAAAAATAAATTGTTCTAATTTTATAATAATTTTGTTCTTTAGGCCTTTGTTTATGTTTCAACGGCTTACTCGCACTGTGTTTACAATAAAATCGAAGAAAAATTGTATAAGCCACCTATGAAGACAGATGATATAATTAGATTGACAGAGATTTTGATCAAAGATCAATTAGATTTAACCCTTTCGCTACGAGCGTCGCCTATAGGCGACAGCTGCTCGACGACTTGTGTGTCGAGTGTCGCCTATAGACGACGTCAGTTTGATACCACTATATAATATGTTGTTGTGTAACACTTAAAGAATCGTATGACCCGGAGAATGACAAGTCTGCACAGAAATATATGCGTCCGAACACCAGTTTACCTAAGTACAACATGCATACTTTCCGGCGCAGTGGCGCTACTTCGGCGGCACGCAGGCCCGTACAGCGGTGACGCTCCTACGGAAGACACTGCCGTAGCGAAAGGGTTAATTACCCCAAAGTAATAAAACATAAAAACCTACTGCATTCTTTTAAAGATAAGTCGATAAGCATATTCGTTTGTTTTACAGTCTACTGGGTAAGTGGCCTAACACTTACGCATTTTCAAAGGCAATCTGTGAAGATACAGTACGGCAATATTCTAATGGAATTCCAACTTGCATTGTTCGGCCATCTATTGTTGTCGCAACGGAAAAAGAACCAATTGCTGGTTGGATAAACAATTTGTATGGACTTACAGGTGTTATTTTTGGTGGCGCGACTGGTGTTTTACGAACACTGTATTGTGATAAAGACTTAATTTGCGAGATAATTCCTGCTGATTATGTTGTCAATAACATTATTGCTGCAGCATGGAACGTTGCAGGAAAACGGTTATTTTTTTTCTTCTTTTTCGAACAATCTCTAATATCAACTTTTAGTAAATCTCTTAAAATATTATTTACAATAAATAAGTTAGAACTTTTTCTTGTAGATCCATATCACAGAGTGGTAATCTTTCCATTAAAAGTAATAAATATTTACCTGTAGATGAAGATATTACAGTTTATAATGCTGTTTCCTGCGTTCTAAAACCAGTTACTTGGAGTACTATGGAGAATTACCTGAAAACTAACGGATTTAATGTTCCATGGAAAAAAAACAATTTAATACTGCTCCTGAATGTTGAACAAAAACTATTATTTCGATATTTTTCTGAAAATTTTTTTGCACTGGATACCTGTAATTATAGTGAGCTCCTTATTATATCTCAGCGGAAAAAAGCCGATGTATTGTATGACGATATTTAGATTTATTATTCGCCGATAAAAAGACACGTTAATAAATTAATTGGCTTTTTTCAGATTTTCTTTCACAATCTGTGAAAAACGACAATAAAACGGTCGCTTGTACTGTATGTTATGCTAACGCGAATCCGTTTGAAACAAATGTATAATTTTTTCTATTTTTAGGTAGATGTTAAGCAATCTGAAAAAATTTAATAACGTTTGTTCTTATCGGCAAATAATAAATCTAAATATCGTCATAGAATACATCGGCTTTCTTTCTCTGAAATATAATAAAGAGTCCACTATAATTACAGGTATCCAGTGCAAAAAAATTTTCAGAAAGGCGAGGGTCAAACGGCGAATAAAATATTGGTTGGTATACCAAATGGGAAAAGACTACTAGGTAGACCGGGACGTAGATTTGAGGATAATATTAGAAGAAACCTGAAAGAAATAGTTTATGAAGACAGCCAATGGAAGGATCGCGCTCATGGACGGGAACAATAGCGGGAATTGGTATTTGCGACTATTGAGTTATAGGGGATATTAAAAATACTCTTTTTTATAACACAATTTCCTTTTTACTTTATATGATAAGGTGGAAGCACGTCTTTACTCAATCAGGAGTAGAAAAAAGAATAAACGAATAACGAATAAACCAAAAGAAAAATGTTTCGTCGCCAAGCACTTAAGATGCAGCTGTTCCTTGGTAGGGATAAAGAAAACAAAGATTAAAAAGGACCGCCCATCGATAGAACCATATATGTAATACTTCTATATGGACAGTTTAAATGGGAAGGAATGTCCCACCATATATGTAATACTTCTATATGGACAGTTTAAATGGGAAGGAATGTCCCACTATTAAGGTGCCGACATATACTATTTTCTCTCTCGTCCCACATACCTGGTAACTGGTTCACGTTGCGCATGCTTGAGAATTCCCCATGATATTAATAGAGGGAGAAGAATGAGCGGAATAATTTTGTGGTTATGATTCTGTTTACAAATATATTTATTATTGTAATTCAGAAAAACAATTATAAATTTTAAAAAACTTTTGTTTTAATTTAAATAATATTCTTTTTCCAACAATCAGTTATTGAAAAATGGTGAAGTTGTGTTATTTATGTGATAGAAAAGCGTCGAGAGCTGACAATATTTCTTTGCATCAGTAAGTGCAAATGATTTTTAATTTTTTAGATGAAATCCTTTATTATGTTATTAATAATATTTAAATTTGATCAATTTTAGATTTCCGAAAAATTTGGAGATACGTTTGAAGTGGCTAAATGCTTGTGGATTAACTGAAAATAATGATGTAAAAAGAACTTACATATGTTCCAGACATTTCAAAGCTGATGATATTTGTCAATCAAAAATTTTTGGAGTTGTTAAATCTTCT